AAGGAAGTCGTTTCCTAACAGTATCTTATCGACATTACCCCTAATGTCTCCTGTTACAAAAAACATGTGATAGTCGTCTATACTTCCAATACGAATACGTATTTTTGTTCTACCTTTGATATTAATAGGTTCTCCCCTATAACATTCAAATCTCTGTGTGACGGATTCTATGTCCTTATTTTTGCTAGCTTTTTCCCACAGAGTAGATGAAATGAAAGAGGCACCAGCACCACTATCTATGATAGTATTTGCATGCAAATTATCGCCGATCAAAATGTCGGTGTAAACGGGAGTACACAGTTCCCTGTGCTGGTTAGTAACATTGGAAAGGGTGTTCGAGACTTTCTTAGCATATTCTTCATATGCTTTAGTTGTCAAGGGTTTTTCAGTTTCATTTACAGGCCGTTCATTTGATTCGGGATTTACCTTGGAATCTATTTCTCGGGTTGGTGACTGGCCTCGTTCCCCAACCCTTCCGTGTTTAACACTGTGTTAACATCGGATTTGAACTGTTTATCATCCTTAATCTTTATATTCTTATATCTACGTAACACTTTCTGTAAAGCAAAACAATTCTCATCTATGTGGTTAGTCTTTCTACAATAACTACAACCATCGCGATTTCGAGGTTCTTGTGTGCCGGAGAAACCTCCACGGCCACCCCGACCTCTGTTACATGATCCACGGCCTCGGCGGTCATTTTGTTTACCGCGATAGTTTTGGCGTCTGAAATCGCCACTACCGCTATATCTTTGCTTTGAGCTCATCGCATTGATTTGCGAGTTTTGTGAATCATTAGGATCCACATAATTATATGCAAACTGTTTCGTATTAGCAGCCCTCTCCATTAGACATTTAACATAAACACGAAAAGAGTATTCATAGGTCCAACCATATCTAAAAATTCTTTAGCTCTTTTATTTCTAAGGCCATACTTAAATTGTTTGGCACAGTATATCTTCTGTAGTTGGTGTTTTACCATATGCCAAATAACCCAAATGTTCGAGATTCCTGAGCATACGCATTATAGCTTTCGCCAACCTGCTGTATGCGATCTCTAAATTTCTGGTGGGGACTAGTTTCACCAGCGGTACCAGAAAACTTTACCAAATATTGTAAAATAGCATCAGAATTAAAACTGTCTTGGGCAGGAATAATAGTTTTCAAGCGGGTAAGAACATCAGCATCAATGAACCCATACAAGCAAATTGCTTTTGCAGGGTCATCCCTAGCTTCGGTATGAGATAAACTAGCATTAAACCGAAGTGCAAATTTATTCGGATCATCCCCGTCATGAAAAACTTTGATACTACGGTTAAGGGTTTTTGTTGCTGAATGAGCAATTTGATAATCTTCCCGTGTAACATCAGGACGACGTCCCTCGACCCCCGGTACAAATTGTACATACGGTTGTTGAATAGGTTGTTGTTGGGGGGCGGGCTGTTGGGACCCCTGGTAAAATGGATATTGCGGAGAAACCATAGGAGGGTTACTAGGGAAATAAGGAGCATAATTCTGACAATACATTTGATACGGAATATTCCCATAAAACATATTTGGTAGTTGACTACTAGGATAAGCAACACCAGCTTAGGACGTTGAATTAACGGGTTTAGATAGGGTGGTAACAATGGTAGTATCGTTACTCCTAACACTTGGTGTTGTTACGCCAGTAGTAAAACCAGAAAAAGTAACAAAAGTGTTAGACATACTTGATACGATAATTTCTTCTTCTGAAGTCGCACCAGAAGTTGACGGAATATCTTCATCTTTTGATTGGTTCATTATTTTACGTGGAATTGTTTTTTTGTTGTGTCGATGTGGAGTGACAGTTATTGAAGTACTCGAAATATAGGTACTTGTAGTTGTTTCGAGAATGTTTTGGAGATTTCTGCTGCGCAATTCCATAAACCGCAACAAATATTAGAAAAGTCTGTCACTGTCCAGTTCGTCGTTTATCAATCCAATTTAATTGCACTAATTGTTCAAGTGTTCTACAACCAAGTAACGGAATTTGATTTGATGAAGCGAATTGTCCAACTCATTTGAAGTTGTCTCGACTCTCGAGCAATGTGATTATTAACGCGATGATATGCTGATAGCAATCGGTGTTTTGGTTGTTGAGTTGACGCAATCTTCTGTTGTGTCTGCAAGACCAGAGAACTGAAGGTTGATTAGAGTTCATCAAAATTTCCGAGTCCCGTAGTCTGGTAGTACTCGCCTTCTTGTATTAAGCAAACTCCAAATCAAACTTTGAATAGTCAATAGTCGTCATCCACGCTCTTACAACGCTGCCACCAATTTGTAACGTAGCGGGGTTTTTAGGCGATGGCGTTCGACGGTGATATACTGTGTAGAAAAGACCGTCTACTTCCTCGCTAAACGACAGCTTAATTGACTTTTAAATACTGGCAAATACTTGGCTATTCTGTTGCCCCAGTCCACAGGTTCACACGATCAACAGTCAAGAAATATTCACGGTGCACTTTTGTATTCAACGCTAGGATACGATACCCAGCCATCAAGGTCAGAGAACAGAAAAGAACAGTGTGTCCGATGCAACAGACACGACTTAAAAAAAGAACAAGTAATCAAAAACACGTGGCAACACAACAAATGCGCAACGCATAAGCGCCACACAGTGGAATGAACGTAAGACTACGTATTACGTTACATATACATGAAAAAACCTACTCTTCAGAATCTGTGCAAGCCACTCCCGATATTTTGATAATAATATCGCCATTATTCACGTCGTCTTCATTCCTATATGCCCTCTGTTTAGTTTTCATTAGTTTAATATCTTTCACTCTCTTTGCAGAATTGAAGCGCTCTTCAGGCGTAGTCGTCATTTTATGTATTAACTAAAATTTGTTTGTTCGTCAAAACAGATGAAATAGTAGGCCTACATTTGTTTGATATTTGAGAAATACGGCTGGCCTCTTTATTCACAGCTCTTTTTACATCTTTTCTGTTTTGTAAATATTTTGTTTTTTTGTTGGAGTGGTAATATGGCAGCAATTAAGTATAAACTTATTCCTATTTCACAGACGCAGTAGGTTTTTTTTTCTTTTTTTAAAAGTAAGGCAAAGTTTATAAAATTAACATGAATGTTATAATATTGTAATCCAATTCAAAATGAGAAGTCCTACATCCACAAAAAACTCAAATTATACCCATATCTAGTGGTGAGCTTTAGCCGGAACGTACGGGAACGGCGTTCCGGTTGTTGGACATTTTATTGCATTTGCGTTCCTGTTATTGAAATCAAATTATTCTAAAAAGTCTAGTTTCTCTTGTAAACTTAGTTAATAATTTATGTTTTGTTAGGCCATAATTTGCAATTATTTTCACATCACATCACGCAAATAATTAGTACAGCAGTAACGTGTAGCAGATGTTTCCTTAAATTTTGACCCTATGAAAATTCATTCTTTACCTTTCTAATAATAACATTCGTATTGAATTGCTATGGATATTCTTGTAATTTTACACAGACATATTTCAGATCATTTCCTCATATTTCAACGCAGTCCTTCGGCTCTATCTTGAGACAGACACAAATTTCTGTAAACGCCCGCGTCATTTTGTTTCATAAGTACACTTAAATATATTACATTTTTGCGAATTAGGTGCGTTCCGGTTGTTACGATTTTCCCAGCTCATCACTGCCCTGAACCACAAATCTTTGTAGGTACCGAAGTGTCATGCTGGCTCCTATCGCTGCTCGAAGCTACGATAATACCTAAGTTAAAAATGTGTACCCAAGTAACACAGACCACTTGCACATTAATTTGAACTTTTTCCCACAGAAACTGTGATAATATTGTACTGTTACATTGTAATCACAGCCAAACAATGAATCTTGTCTGACGGAAAATTGTCGTAGGCCTATTTGATCTATTTCCGAAATAATCTGAAACAAATGATTTTGACGCACCATTGCCTAAGAAAATTGTTGTGTTTTTGTTATTATTCCTTCATAAAGTGAAAATGTGGTGCACTAATACGACAAAATGATGTTAAATGTAGGTAGAACAATGATTATTTAGAAATTAGTAGAAGGTGATACTCAAACATGTTGAAATTTTATAGAACTGAGTAATCTTGTGGGAAGGCGAGGATACGATAGGATATGCTTCTAATTTAGAATCAAAAATTAAAAATTTCTTCGTGTATTGCCAAACTCGCTTATCAAAGTGAGCAGATAAAAATATCCATATCACGTTACCCTAGCCTCAAGTTAAATTACAAATTGAAAAAAAAACACAGATAAAAAACGCATTTACAGCAAAATAATTATGAACTAATTTTCAAAATACCGCATTTCGATATACATCGGTATATAAAGTATACATTTCACGTCACTCGATGCTGAACTCAAGGCAAAAACAGTGTCGCTGAATCGATGGAAGTGACAGTTGAAAATATCGTGTGCTTATTGGACACGAAATGGACCATGTTAAATTTTCTCCATGTGCTACTATCTCCAGCACGTCATCAAAGACCGCTCCGGTTTTCGCTGAGGCAGTTTTTGAAAATTCATAAATAGAAAACAAAGACAACTTAACGTATATACTACAACATTTTATCAAAAATATATAAAATCAATTTTATCAAAAATATTTTCCGTCACAAGTCACCCTCCTTTAAATGTTTTTTGTACAGTCCGGAAAATGGCAAACGAATAAGACAAATCTGACGCAGCATTATTTCTCAACCACAATGCTGTCTCTCGAGTATCGATTAACTCGGGAATAGCTAGATTGGAAACACGTGCGCAGTGAGGTTGTTTTGGTCTGGCTCATCGTCAGAGCTTGTTTTTGTGTTTCCATGCTTCGTATCCGTAAGTTCTCGGTTAGAATTAACGATAACGATATTCAAATTATCAATTGAATTCTTAATATTATTTTTCAAGGGCTGTACTATAGTGACATCGTGGTAGTAACAGTTGCTTTTTATTTATATTTTAGGTTATTTACAGGTTAGATTAGGTATAGGTTAAATTGAACATAGTTTGAAATAGACTTTGTTGCTCTGTATTACAGTGGACTCAAAAACAATTAGCACGTAATTACTGCCATATCTTGTATGAGGTATAATTAATTTATATTTTATCGCATACGCCATACAGTATTGTGAATTTGTAGTGTATATAGTAGTGAGTATAAATACTGTAAGGCTTTGTTAGTCTTAAATATAAGAGTTTAGTTTATTATCTTTGGCGGACCGTGGAATGATTTGAATGTTTCTCGTTTCCTTTCAAGTTTCGTTGTATTGGATTACTATATAAATGAATTGCTTCCATTTCATGTTGAATTCCATTGTGAAACACTGAGCACATGCAAAAAGCCTACTTGCGGTTTACAAACTCGAATTGCATTAGAGCACGAATAATTCTTGAGTTTGGGATGGTGGTTTCGACTTTCGGCGCGTTGTTAAAAGTTCCCAATCACTTAATTTACGTTTTGAAATAGGCCAGGGTTACTGAATCAAAGCACGAAAAAATTGATGATAATTGGCAATGAATCTTTGTATTTACCTGTTTGTAGGCAACGCTTGAACAATAATTGCCAAAATTACCATGATTTTATTAAAAAAGGGGCTCCAGCCTTATTAGGAAAGACTTTATAGGCCCTATTGATACATTTCAAGAGACAGACGCCATGGCGCACATTCGTACAAAAAAAATTTGAAATAGTTAGATCAATCGGTAGAAATTTGGGATCATTCTTTCAGTTCAGAGTTTATCCCGACATTATAATTATGAATTGAATTGCGGCATTTTTCTAGCATTAATATGAGAAGAAGATTAATTTGATGTTTCCTGTCTATTCCCGCAGCATTGCTGGCGGTTCGGTTGACAGTCTGTGCCTCTTAACGCTGTAAACAAGTATCGAATATTTGCTGCTAGTGATAGAGAGAAGGAACCTATGCTCTGGAACAATGAATGATATTCAAGTTGCCTGGGGCAGAATTGCCAATGTCATTTATGCTGAATCGCCAGAAGAAGCAAATAAGGTGAAATTTTATTTTATCTCTTGTATTGATGTAAAAAGGAGTCGAAAATGTGCATCCGGCTTAGGATTTGGTGAAATCGCTTACGTTTCACGTTTATTAAGTCTTAAAATTGAAGGCCAGCACAGCAAATGCTCAATTGTTAAAGAATATGCCTTCCATTTCTGAATTTGAAAAGTAAGTTTTCATCTGCTCGGAATTGTTAGCCTATTTTATGTAAAAACTACAAATAAAGGCAGGGCGGTTTTGTATCACGACTTGTGTGAATGGCGCGCGTGTTAGTTTCAAACTTATTTGTCTGATAAAGGGGACTACAGCGACACAAGAAAAACGTACTGGTTTCGAGAGTTGTCAGAAAACTAAATCATCACATTTTTCAGAAGTTCGCTTCAAATTGAAATTGAGTCGAATGTCCCGTGACAGACATTGCCTGTACACGTATTAAAGCTGTATGAAGTTAGACTTGCGAAGGCGATTCAATCATAAAATCGATATCCAATGCCGGCCAAATATTTTAATGGTTATAATGTTGCGGCGATGGCGTTTCGGAGGTTGACACGCAATATATTGTGTAATATTATAATCGTTTTTTGGTAATGCAATATGCAGGCGAATCCGTGCTTTTGGCCACGAATATCATAAAAATAAAGTATTAGACATAGCCTAGGTTCAGGGTGTTCCAAACCCAGGCCACATGTGGCCCGCCGCTTCATTATCTGTGGCGCGCGTCACATTCGGAGACGGAGAGTAATCGATAAATAACATTTGGTGTTGTTTCGTAATAAAATTAATCAGGAAAATCTTTTGACATATTGTTACATCACTAATGTCACTGGATTGACTGGGTGAAATGGCTAGCGGAGGCACTAGCAAAGTTGAATGATGTGCTTGGCAGTCTGAATTATTATCTGGCTTTCTATCTTTGGTCGGGAATATATGCTAATAATATAGGCATCATAGAAAACTAAAATTTGAATGCGGATTCTATTAGCCTGGAAATGGCTATGTCTGACAACTATGTGTTTGCACAATAAAAGTGTTTGTTTTTTCATTGCACTGTTACCTATTCTTTGCACTATTGTGGGCCCGCGACAATGCAAAAAAAATTGTGTGGCCCGCGGAGCCGACAGCCTTTGACCACCTGGCCTAGGTCCTGATACAAAGCTGCATGTGTGAAGGCTCAAAAATACACAATACCATCTAAGAATATTAGACTTGCGGAAAAGCTGCAGCAGCAAATTTCTCATTTATGCAAACTTTGATCAAATATCTTCTATTTCATATAAAAGTAATATTTTTTCCAAGTCATTAACAAAACATAAATATTAATAACATATCAATTTTCATTGTTTTTATTTTAGGCATACACCAAGTGGGCTGACAAATTCGACACCGACATTAATTCGACACTCTGTTGCGTGTCCAACGAGGAACTTGCTGAAAACTCGTTAATTCATATCAAAAATAATGAATCTGCACAACTTTTTGGACCTGGCAGCCGGTAAACAATTATAAGCAGATCGGTATTGACTCGCTAACATTTCATAACACTATCAAATCCACCAATAACAATTATACTAGGCCTATTCTCTAAAATTATGTCCGACAACTCTCTTCCCATTCAAAGGCACTGGATTGGCTGCAGAAGCATTACTAGATCATGGATACAAAGGAGTAATGGATGCTGTTGAATTGAATGAAGATATGCTGAAGAAAGCGGAATCAAAGGGAATATACAGGTAAAGCGAGATAGTGGAGTCTAGTCATCATTGTCGCTGGGTATCGCCGTTTTGCTTTTTTATTGTTATTTATTGTGTGATTGGGAACCTGCCAACGAATGAAATGCTAGTCATCATTTTCGGACATATCCATTTGACTTTGCTATCTCTGATTGCATAGAATTACCAGTAATCAAAAGAAAAAATTAATGAGGTAGTGTCCCTTTCTTCGGTGACCTATCGCTTAATACACCACCGTATTTTTGTATGGTTTGAGTGAGTTTTGGTATTTCAGCACTTGATCCGACTTGACTTAAAAAAAACTTATTGTAAATTCCAGCTACAACCGAAAAAATTCAGACCGACCGACAATTACGTTGAAGTGACGTAAAATAATGTACCAATTAGTTAATTTACAAAATTGCACTACATTAATAATCATGACAAATGTAATGCAGGAAACATGTTTGCTTCAAAATTACAACCCGGAAGCATCAATTCCAGTAGGACAAAATTATACGACACCCGTGATTTGTTCTGGGGCTCTTGGAGCAAATCATTTGGAGGAAGGATGTATTGTTGTAAGATTGTAAAATATATTTTATTTGACTGTAATATAAATATTCTACTTTAGCCGGTTATAATTGGATTATGATTTGAATGAATGCTATGCCGGCGACAACATCTTTTGGTAGATGAAAACACTTTGGATTTAACGTATTAAAAAAGTTTTCAGGTATTTGGTTTTGGAGTTTGGAGGAGTTTGGTTAAATCGCCACTCACCTATTGTTACTGATTCACTTTTTTCTTTTTTCGATCACATGTCGTGAATCTCCTTGAAAAAAATAAGATAAAATAAGAAAATAAGAAATAGTAGTTTTTTTTTCAGTGAAAAATAGATTTTAGTGTCGTTTTAAATCTTCGAATGCCCAAAGGCAGCACGATCCGTATACAATACATATACTGTTCAACAATATTATTAGAACCAAAAAGGGTTACTTACAATTGCGGTAATATATATTACAAGTTTTTCTCCGGATTTGTACGTTAGCTTTCGGACAGAGTAATATACCTTTTTTTGTTTATGATATATTTTAGCGAATGATTCATTGCTTGAAACCTGGTGGAATTCTGGTGTTCAATACGAGAAAAACGGAGGCAAACAAAAGTATTTGTGTTGAAACTTGACGCAATGATGAAAGAACTTGTAGATATCGGCCAATTGAGCAAGATTGAAGTGAAAGAAGTGTTGCAATTTCGAAGCAATTGCAATGAAACTGGCGACGCCATGATGGCATGGCTGTATATATACAAAAAGTTGTGAATTTTGGGTTTCCCTAATATAATTAAGAGAAAAACGTTAATAGGTATTTTCCAAAGTAGCTTAAAGAAATAAAGAAAGAATTAATTAACAAAATGCAGTTTAATTCAGGTTCATTTTACTATGTAGCAGATTGGTGAGGATAAGGTACATTAATACGACAAAATTATGTTGAATATAGAACGATGATTATTTGAAAATTAGTAGAAGGTGATACGCGTACATGTTAAAATTGTATAGAACTGAGTAATATTGTGGGAGAGCGAGGATATGATTGGATATGCTTTTAAATTAGAATAAAAAATTTGAAATTTGTTCGAATACTGCCAAAATCGATTATCAAACTGAGCAAGAAAAAATCTCCGAATTTTGTTACCAAGTCTTGCTCTTAAATCTGTGCCTATTGGACACTAAATGGTCCTATGAATCGTTTTGTTATTACTTATCGATTTTAATCGGTAAGTGTGTTGATAGGTATTTGTCTGTCTCTGTGTTTGTCTGTCTGTCTGTTAGATGCACGCGATATCTCACGAAAGCGAGATTGAATCTGCTCCAGATTTTGCATGTGCATTCATCATATGTTGGACCAGAAGCCTATTGATTTTGAATGAATTATGTCGTATAATTAACGAGTTATTAATTAATTAGTGATAGGACACAAGGTGTCACTATGGATTAAGACCGCTGTTTTGAGGATCCCCTAAATTTCGATCGATAAGTCTTCGGTCTCTGACCGATATTCTCGTTGTGTTGTTAGAATTTGCTTCTTTTTGTTACCGTATGAAAAAATCTATTTTCCCATTAACTACTGGACCAATTTCTTTGAGATTTTCAGTGGTTTAAGGTCGTAATTCCAAAAGACTAAAAGGCTATTACTCTTATTTATTCCTAAATTTTCTATGAATCTTATTAGATCAGATATTTCATCCAAAATTCTGCTGTATTTTTTTCTGTTCAAGGAAACACGGTTTTTAATCTTCCAATCGTGACGGATGTCATGCTCTTTGATTTTGCAGAATCTTGCCACGCGAAAGGGGAAATTTTTCGATAGCGGTGATGCACTGTGGGTAGGTACGGTACAGTAACTTACTGTGAAAGATAAAGTACTTTAAATTAATTGATACTATAGTTGTGGATCGAATCATTTAGCACGTTGGCACAAAATGCATGAATCATCATTATCATAGGACCTGGTAAAGCTGGGCAAGTCCGGGTACGGAACCGGTACTAATACGATACTATGGTCTACAAGTTTTGATACTGTAAGTGCCGAACATATCAAATATCTGGTAGTGAAGGAAAGTTTATTCCATTTACCAACATCATCAAATTGGAAAATTTCTTAAACTGGCTAATTGCTAACTTGCGGACTAATATTTTAAACTGGCTCATTCTGGCTAAAATATTGGTAATGTCACTAATAATAGCAAGCGCTGTCATGACAGTAACTGCAATTGAGGTGTTGAGGAAGGTTGAATATAACCTGAATATCACGCATTATAATCATCTCAAACTTTTGCAAACTCGAGCTAAGGATCCATGATGGAACATATAAAATAGTTCTTTTGCATAGTGAGGGGGAATAGAGAGTTCCGTAATAGGCGAAATGAGGAATTTAACCAAAAAATGTTGGCAACTGGTACATTAAACATTACTATGCAACAAAACAGTTGCGAATGCCGAACATTACTTGTCTGTCTGTCAACCTCATCTTGCCCTGGTATATATATGGAATGCTAAAGCAGTGCTCTTCAACCGGGTATACGGTATACCCAAGTGTATACCGGACCATAATTTGGGTATACAACAGATAAAGGGTATACAGTCGAAGTCAGGGACTCCAAACTCTAATATAATAAATTATAAAATATTCAGGCAAAGACAACAATGCAAACGCAGCGCATATGAAATATAAAATGTCATTTATCCAAAGAACCGATGTGGGCACATTGTTACATCACATATTATATAGATATTGCAGTCACGTGTCTGGGTTGGTGATTTCGGCTGCCATGCACTTTGTTTAATTTACGTTGAACATTATCCCCGTTGACGCTAAGACCGTCAGTCAAATTTATAACTTGCGGATTCTAGCCTATTAGATTGTATGATGATATTGCAGTACAATATGTGCTTAAAATTGAATGATTATTTAAGCCTTAAATGAACATTGGTATTTGTAAGGTATACAAAGTTCTTGAAAAATTGTAAAAGGTATACCACGGTAAAAAAGGTTGAAGAACACTGTGCTAAAGTATAGATATATGGATGCTGATTTTAATAAACTATATAACTGTAACTTAACAAGAGGAACCGGCTTTAATAGTGGTTTTTAACATTCTTGTGGACCTGAATCCATGCTTTTTGCTCAAATTGACTGGTAGCTTACTTGGAGTATTGTACCAAACTTAGACATATATGGTATAGAAAAACAGGTACGGGATTTAGAAAATCGACATTTTAATAACATTCCTTTTTTGTTAACGTTGAAGTTAAGTTTCTTCTTCAAACTAATAGTCGAGTCCCCTTCCAGAGATAGTAGTTATTACTTATCGATCTCGATCGGTAAGTATGTTGATAGGTATTTGTCTGTTAGACACTTTCGTATGTTACGCGATATCTCACGAAAGCGAGGTTGAATCTGCTCCAAATTTTGCATGTGCATTAACCATATCTTGAACCAGAAGCCTATTGATTTTGGATGAATTATGTCGTATAATTAGAGTTATTAATCAATTAGTGATGGGACACGCGGTGTCGCTATTGAGTCAGAGCGAATGAATCGGAACCGCAGTTTCTGTTTTGGGGGATCTCCTAACTTTCGTCGCTGCGAACGATTGTGTGCGTAACAATGCCCTGTCTGCGATGTGGAGCGTTTACTTGCGAAGATCGATCTAGTTTAATCAGTGAACGTTAGAATTCTGTACCAATTAATGTATTTATATTCTAGTTGGACTATTATTATAATAATTTGATAAAAAATGGATCGCACTGAGCAAGCGTGGGGCAGAGTCAACTATGTTATTTACGCCGATTCACCAGAAGAAATAAATAAGGTAATAATTTTCAGTATCTAATGTACTTACCCATTCAAGCGACAAAGTACTATAATACCAATATTCATGTAATCGAAGTGTTTCAATATTTATGTCGTATATAGATTCAGAATTTCATGGTTTATTCATAGTAAACGACCAAAAAGAAAGAAATGAATTACAATAACGTCAACATAGATTTTAATGTCCTATTGACCTATTCAATGTTCGTGTATATATTTTGCAATTTGCATTTATCTGATCAACATTTATTTTTTACTGTCTAAACCTGTTACTCACTTAAGAGATACTCAAAATGGGCGGATACATATGACGTGGATAAGATTGTACTCTGTTCTGTGGCTAATGGTGAACTTGCAAAGAATTCGTTGAAGCATATAAAAAACGACGAATCTGCCCTATTGTTGGATTTAGCTGCAGGTCGGTCAGTCGTTTTCCATTTTTCCCATAGTGCGCAAATATATGCTTAAACACGCGTGACCAAATATGGCTACTTTTTTTGGGCAAATTTTGTCGGTGTGCAGCATTGCTGCTTTGCTTTAACGTTATTCTCTGCATTTTTTAATACTTATGTTGAATCGTTTTATCTCGTGATTTGATACTTTGCTTCTATTTGGGTATATACATTCATTCCGAAACTCAAGCTAACCTTCACATGCTTTTGAATGTTGACTTGAAGCAATAGTACAGTAGATAGCACGTTCCTCTACCTGAGTTTGTATAAAAACTTGGATATTTCAAATTAAAGCCTTGACTTATCATTTCAAAACACACCCTCCCGCTCCGACCTAATTGGGAAGGAGGAATTCGATACCATTTGCCCGTTATTTTCTAACTCAGCAGGGTGATTGCTTAACCTAGCTCTGAATCAACTTGTTCAGGTACTGGTTTGGTAGCCAAAGCATTTCTGTCGCAAGGGTACAAGGGTATCATGGATGCAATGGACTGGAATGAGGAAATGTTGGAAAAGGCCAAGCAAAAAGGTTTATACAGGTACCATTGTAATATCTTGTCACTGTTTCTTCGTCACGTGAATTTCTATCGTGCTTCCCCGAAAAAAGACCTAGCCTGAAAATGAGATCTAGCTTGGATTTTAAAAATGATTTTAATATAAGGACAAGGTAGACCTAGTCGATAGCGCG